GTACGTAAATGGTACCACAGACCTCTGGTTGGTGATACTATGATCTACCTCGTATACTTACTTGGCTGGTGATACTATGATCTACCTCCTATGATCTACTTCCTATACTTACTTGGTTGGTGATACTATGATCTACCTCCTATACTTACTTGGTTGGTGATACTATGATCTACCTCCTATACTTACTTGGTTGGTGATACTATGATTAACCTCCTATACTCACCTGGTTGTTGATCTACCTCCTATACCTACTTGGTTGGTGATACTATGATCTACCTCCTATACTTACTGGGTTGGTGATACTATGATTAACCTCCTATACTCACTTGGTTGGTGATACTATTATTTACCTTCTATACCTACTTGGTTGGTGATACTATGATCTACCTCCTATACTTACTTGGTTGGTGATACTATGATCTACCTCCTATACTTACTTGGTTGGTGATACTATGATCTACCTCCTATACTTACTTGGTTGGTGATACTATGATCTACCTCCTATACCTACTTGGTTGGTAATACTGTGATCTACCTCCTATACCTACTTGGTTGGTTATACTATTATCTACCTCCTATACCTACTTGGTTGGTGATACTATGATTTACCTCCTATACCTAGTTTGTTGAGCTATATTATATACTCTATACTCATTTGGTTTGTTGATACTATGATTTTGCCCTCGGAACCTATTTGGATTAACGATATTATAATTTACCCTTTATACTTACTTGGCAGTGATACAATGAGTTACCTTCAATACATTTTACTTACTTGATGTGACGACACTGTTGTCTGTATTCAATATTTTCCTGGTTTCATGATACTATAATTTACCATCATTACCTACTTCGATTATATGATCTGCCTTGAAATACCTACCTGGTTTTCCTTATGCCATGATTTACCACTTACTTGATGCGACGATATTATAATTTACCTACAGTGCTTACCTGGCTTGATTTACTTTCAATTTTTGCTTAGCGTAACGAAACATTTATTTACTTTCAATACTTACTTGGTGTCATGATACTACCATTTACTTTTCAAAGCAAATATCTACTTTATTGATCTGTTACTTAACGACTTAGTTTGTGGTGTGATAGCAATGTTCTCCTATTCGATCGAGTGGCTGTGGCTTGTCGCGAAGTGGACTCCAAACAAATGACGGTGATCAAATCCCTGACTTTCTGTCTCTCACCTCCTTTTACAAGAATCCCCTCATCTCAGAATTTTCACACATAATTACCATTTCCACTCTCCATCATTATATAATCATATTCTACTGTTTTGTATATACTGTGTCAAGTCTGCATTTTATCTACCTTTTGTCTTTTCTTTATTCCAACACACTTTTACAGTCTTTTAAACTTTAGTTAAGTACTCATTGTTTTTTTTTTGTATTAATAGTTTTACCTTTTTATATGGAGACGGATTCACTTAAGCTGTGTTATTTTTTCCGAATCCAATTTATATATATTTTATGTAACTTATATGTTAATTTTTGCATAAATAAATATTGTTTAAATCAAATCTGTCGTCCTGAAACGCATTTAATCGTTCTAAATCGCCTATAATTGATAGCTATAATCGTACCCGACTGTACCGACCAACGGACCATAGCATGGGCAGGGGTAACAGTAGTATTTAGGTTTTTCGTTAGGTCTCATCTTGCATATAGAGGACTGAGATTGACAGCATTAGTAGTAGAGTAGGGGTAATCATGGAATTCGTTTCTTGTACGCGAAAGTACAAAGGTGCAACCCAAAGGCATGCTTCCCGTGAACGAGTGACCGATCTTCGCGCGTTTTTTGAATGACCGAAGACTGTCCGAAGATTTACTGTAGCTCCCTTCGTCAACCTACGGCTACATAAATTTGGCCACTCTCGGCCGATCAACGTAGCAAGATCGCTCACTTGCGGTGAGTAGTGGGTTTCTATCGATCGATCGCTCGTGGAACATCTGTGATTCGTCAATCCGCAATAACTAATGGTTGGAACTCAATCGGGTAAGAAAATGGGTCGATTTAAGACGACAAAAAAAAATAGATCATCTTGGAAAATCTGGTACAGATCGGGCCGATTGGAAAAAACAATCCTTGGTCAAATGGGGGGGGGGGGGGGGGGGGGGGGGT